CCTGGTGTTGGGATCTTAAGGGATCAATCAAAGCCAGGCTCCCTGGAACTTCCATATCTACAGGCCCTCCGCATTAACGTGGAATAACCGGGGAATACTGAGTAATTCGCTCAGGTGGCAGCTTGCGCTCTGATGTTTAGCGTTAGTGCAGTCGGTCGGTCTCGCTTACACTCACATACATGTATAGTTTCTTCAAGTGTAAATACTGTACATACATGTGCAAGTACAGAAGAGTAATGGCTTGAATTTACAGGACACAAGTGTAGAGTGTGGGACTGGATTCTGTGGTGTATTTTATCCCCCCTCACATCTCTGTCACATGCCACAGTGATGTTATGTTGTGATGTGTTGCCCTGGAAATCACTATCATTAGAGAGGAGGGATGTGCAGCAGTGTAGAAGAAGAGCAGAGAGAAGGGAAGGAAAGGAGAGAAGAATATTGGAGCTTCATAGAGAAAGGAGGAAGACTGAGTGCAGGCAAAGGGAGAGAAGAAGAATGTAAAGTATGTTGCATGCAGGATACATTGCTGTGATAAGACATCTAATAGTAAAAGCCTTTTGTGACATGACAAACACAGCTTTGATAGTATGACATCAGGATGGCCTTCTATTAAATTCCTGAACTAATATTATCATGTTGTGACAAATTTCATAAGAAAAACATTTGGAGATTCTCAGTTAAGGTCAGCTCCTGTGAAGGCCTCATAGAGAGGAGCCAGTTCTTTTAACCCAAACCTCTGCTGCATTTCCTGTCTAAGCAGGTTCCTGGTGATGACTCAGTACTGTGTGCGTGCTCACTATACACGCATACGTGCAGGTGTGTTTTTATCTGCATTTATCTCTGTACACTAGTCCACCTTATCTGTGTTGTGTTCAGTGTCACTGGCTATTTTTGCTGTCTACGATATCTTTGTTGCTAGGTCATGGTGTCTGTATGCAGACCATGTGAATGGAGAAGTGTCTCAGTTTATTGGCAGGAAAAGTGTGAAAGTTCCCAGAATAATATTTGGAAAACTTTTAAGAGCGCTGAACTTTGATCTGCACAGATAGTGTTTAGGGTTAGTGGGTGATGAAGTAGTTCAGGTTTTCTCTCTCTCTTATTGTATATGAGGGCTTCCTTTTCTATCTTCTTCTCTTATTGCTTTTCTCAACTTTGATTTATTGAGTTTTACCCATGTGATCGTTCTCAGGCAGCATTGCCAAAGCAAATACATGTAATCATTTAGATAGTAGTGGAACAGAACAAAGACAAATGCACAATAAATATGTATATGTTGAAAATCAATACAGTTATGTATAGGATTCAGTTTTATTTTATGAAATTAAGGTTAGATGAGTTTTTTTTTCTTCTAATTCTGTGCTGTCAACACTTTATTTCACACCTTTAAAGTGCATTCATAATCCACTGTTGACAGACACCCATAAATGTAGGCTATGTAGTCATCTATGGGTCATTGCTGTAAACAGTTTTTCTGTAATAAAGCGATTAGTAGTGTGGAAAATTATAACTTGATAGTATGTTCAGGATACAGGTTGTGCTAGGTTTGTATACAGGCTGTGGAGTTGCCTTAAAGAAGTGCTTCAGTTGTGTGGAGATTCCCAATCATTTTAGTCATAATTGCTCCCCTCTCATGTATGAAGCAGGGCCCGCTGCTGGTCTGGGTCTGTGCAGCCACTGAACCTGGAGGCTGCAGTACAATGCAGGAACATTGCAACACTGCACTTTCCTCAGTTCCTTGGAAGTCCACTCTTATGACGCATTTTAAACCAGAAAAGCAGCTTTGTTTTGTAGAGCTGTATTTTTTTGCTGAATAGCCAAGAAAAGCCATTTTCACCAGGATTGCCTTCTGGTGCATTTGGTAGATTCCTTTTATTCATTATTTATTATTAATATTTTGCCGTCTTCATACAAAGATACAATGGCAGCATACAGAAGAGCATACGTACTCACAGAGGAGCATGGACTGTCCTCATAGTCTCCTGAGAAAGATTTGAATGATTTAATTAAAGATTGAATGAATTTAATCATGTAAGTAGAAGCAAGAAACAAATTGTGAAAACCAAAGCTGATGTAATATGAAATGTAACAGAGTAGTATAGGTTAAACGTAATATATCCTGCTCTAAATACCCAGAGTCATGTTACTTGTATCTGTCTCTGTCTAGCAGCAATGTGGATGTTGTTGATGGTAACAGAAGCATTAGCCAGACAAGCTAGGTCAGGGTGTAATCCTGCAATAGATACTGCTCTGCTCCTCATTACAACACACACACACACACACACACACACACACACACATGCGCGCGCACACACATGCGCACACAACGTATGGCTCTGTGTTCTTTGCTGATCGCTCTGTGTGTTTCTGGGTGCATGCATGCGTGTCCAACCCCGTGTGCGTGACAGAGGGACAGCAGGCAGGGGACCAATAGAATAACACACTGAAAGGGGCAGGGCACAGTTTCATAGGTGGACATGGAGATACACACCGCCAACCTGCCAGTATCACTGAGTGCTTTCTTTGTACAACACACAGGGAACTGAATACTACACTGCTGAGTAAGAGGAAAAACTTGCAGTTATGTGTGTGTGTGTACTTGTATTGCTAAACATTATGGCTGGTCCTCTCTCTGACACACCTTCAAAGGGCAGTTTGAAGACTTGGTCTTAGTGTTCAGGTTAGAATGAGGTTACGGTGATGACTGGGGTTCAGCATTTAGTTGTAATGGTTATGTTGGGGTAAAAGGTCTAAGAAACCCTGTAATCAAACCTGGGATAGATATTAATTTATGGGAGAACTTAAAGAAAATCTTTACCAGTGAAATATACTTTGGAGAGGAGGCTGAACTGTGCCGATTTCAGCACTCGTCCTTGTACAGTATGCACTTAATTTGATGTACTACTTGTATTTGGCACCTCATTTGTATTCATACACAAAGTCACAGCCTGCATTTTCATTACTTTCTGTTGCAAATTTTTCATAACTTATATTTGATTGCAGTTAGTCACAGAAACAGTTTTGTAAATACAGGGTTAGGCACTCTTTGCTAACAATATGGCCGAGAATTATTATTTGCTCAACCTGTATTGTCAGTTTTTATTACTGACAGTTTTATGTGTGTGTTTGTGTCCCTTCTTGTGACAGCATTTCTGGTGTTGTGTGTTTGTGACTCTAAATACAGTGTTTACCAGGTGTTGTACAAGTTTCACACAACTGCATGATCATGTGTGTAAATGAGTTTGTGTGAGCAAACAAGCAATAACTGTACTTCAGTTTCAGTTTCTTTCCCTGGAGCCTGGTTGTCACATGATCAACTGACCTCATTTTGTGTCGCCAAGAGGATGCCTTGTTTCAGGGTTCAACTTAACACTCGGCTCCACCCCTTGACCTTGGGACATCTCTTTGTTGCTGTGGTAACAGCCTCCAGGGTTACTGTAAATGAGAAGAGTGCACCAGGAAGGTGTGCTAAGCATTTTCCTCTGTGCTGGTGCATCAAATTAGGCACTTTACCACATTTAGTTACCCAGGCAATATTAACTTGTTCTGCAACATGATTATAAAAATTAGATACACACCTGGGTTACACACTATACAAGAATCTTCTGCTTCCGGCTTCTGTGGAGTGTCACTGCAGTAGTTTGGGGTTAAGGTTTACACAGTAGTGGTGAACATAGGTTTGGACCAGTCAGTGCTTGAGCTATAGGATGTAAAACAGCATTTGTGTTCTTCAGCGATGATACTTAGATTAGAAAAGGAGCAATACTCGAAGAATTGGTGTAACTTCATAAGACGCAAATACACTGTACTAATATGTATTATGGTCTTCAGTTTATATGATAAAGCTTTATGGAGCTGTACTGAATCAGTTTTGTGTTTTTAGTCCCATGTTTGTGACTATTTATTGGCACTTTAAAAGTAAAAAAGGTAAAATTATTTTAAAATGTTAGCAGTAACTCTTTTAGACTGTGAACCAAAGAATGAAACCAACAAACAAACTAAATTTTGTTTCCACAGAAATGCTTTGCACTTCATATGTACAGTAATAACTTCCCAGTTTACCAGCGGCATTTTGCTTAGAGTGGCACAGTCCTCGCTGGAAAACAAGCCGAGGTCACGACAGAAACCTAAATGCCTCCAGATAACTATTTTTGTTTAAAAAAAAGGGGATTACACATGTTTCAGACCAGAGTTTCATGTGGGTAAACAAAGTGTGGTTGCCATGCTGATGGGGCGTCGGTGTATAAATAGCATGGGTGTTTGCTCTGAATACTCCTAAGAGAGAGAGAGAGAGAGAGAGAGAGAGAGAGCACAAGAGAGAGACAGAGAAGGCAAAGAGCAGTGTGCAAAATCACTAGCACAGGCTTATATAAATGCTCATGGCTTTACAGACTTAATCTCACATGAGTATCCTAACAAAGGAAAAATTAATACTGCTATGGATGGTATGTGTGTGTCTGAGAAAAGTCAGTGCTGACAATTACTGTAAATATGCAGTCAAAATAAATAAGTTACCTTTATGAATTGGCACAGCCATTCATTGTGGGAGCCACTGACGGGTGTGGTGGTTTATTGTAATAGTGCTATAATACTTCCACTGTTTTTATATTTGTATGTTTTATGTGTTAGTTCATTTATTTCGTCACCAAAGTCGGTGCTGAAAGATTAGTTTTGCTCTCTTGCTTATTCTGGATAAAGAATAATAAAATCCAAATACAGGGGATTAAGTGAACATGTTGTTTTTGGAGTAGAAAGGATCTCCTTATGTCTGAGAACTGTCATTCAGTGAAAATCGCACTTGGCTGAAGGGTAACTTGATAATTGTAATTGCGTTGCAATGAATTTGGTTATTATTCTGTGATAACTGAGCCAGAACAAGAAATAGCTGTGACCTCAATAATCATATCAGGAAAAAAAAGATATTATTTGCTGTTGTGTAGAATAGAATAAAGAACACTTTGAAAAAAATTGTGCTAACGCTCT